TCAAGCTCACAGCAGACACGCCAGTGACAATACTATCTCCTCAGTACACACACTCCCCTGCTGAGCCCAGGAACCCTGTCAGACCTCCCATGAGGGGCAGAGAATGGTGACAGTGAGAGCATCATAGGCACACGGATGACGGCGGCTAATTCACGCCTGGTGCAGCATTGGCTGCTTCTCCCTCTTCAGCCCTGGCCACCCAGGAGGCAGCTGTGATTCCCACTGTTCAGACCTGAGAGCCAGGGCTCAGAGACTAAGTGTCTTTCAGGACAGCTAACGGCAGCCACAGAAACAAACCCCGCCTGTCAGACCGAGCCCACACTCTTACGTCTCTGTGGGACTAGTTCTGGGGAAATGAAAAGCCCATTTCCCTCCAACCCTCAATCTTCCCAGCAGGGCTGTACTGGTCTAGCACTGGGAAGAACTGGAGTGGGGAAAATTCCCCACAGTGCTCCTTTGGGGCAGGTCCCAGAGCCTCCTCCCTCTGCTCCCAGGCCACTCCAGTGACTCCGATGGCTCAGAAACCTTTAAATTAATCACCCACTCAAAGTACTGTCACCAGTCAAAGAATAACCACCTCCTCAAGCATGCCTGGCCCCAGCCTTGTGTGGCTATGGGTTTCTTCAGCAGTGGGGCTCGCAGTCAGACACCCAGCAGGGCTTCCTCAGTGGGAAGAAGACATGTGCTAGGAGCTGGAGTGAGACAGACAGACAGACAGACAGACAGTGACCTAACCCAGAGGAAGAACTCCAGAAATGGAGGGGCAGCGGGTGCCAGGGAACACGAAAGGGAGAAGCCATTCAACAATAGATGGTCTTTACCCCCGACTCCATAGGAAGAAGCCATTCAACAATAGATGGTCTTCGCCCCCGGACTCCATAGGAAGGAAAAACAGAAGCATAAAAGTGCCACCAGTCACACACTCCAAGTCATCCCCAGTCACAGCGTGAAGGCGTTGGAGCATCAGGTTTCTGCAGTGCTGTCTGGGAGGCTAAGTATGACCTTGGAAGGGAGTGTGTCCTGTTCTATGCCTGGACATACAGTCACACACTGCAGGGTTGGGCTCTGGGGTCCCTATGGGAGGAGCCCAAGCCAGTCCCACTGAATCACAGTCCCCAGCCTGAAGCCCTAGGAAAGAAATGGCAGAAACTGCGTGAAGAGAGTCACCCCTGGTCTGCCCTAGCCCAGATCTACAACTACCGATGCTGCTGCTTATGCATCTGCGACATCTGTGGGCTGTGGTGAGCTTGACTACCCTGGGAGCATCTGAGAACTTTTCACTCAAGTCTATAAAATCTTATCATTACTCCCCGGTTGCAGGTGTGCAGGGGAGGGGGCTGCTGGGATTCTGGGGCCTGATCCAGCCGAGCTCAGGAGGATGACAGCTTTGGGTTGAGGTTCTTCCTTGTGAACTACATGGCCTTTTCTGGGTTTTACTTTCCTCATCTGTCAATTGGGGAGGATGACAGGTCCTGCCTCACCAGGTTGGGAAGGTTGTGAGTCTGCACAAAGTCAGAAATCTCAGTTCGAACTCCAAGAGCCAAATCAGGTGGTCTCCGAGAGCAGAGGGAATGGTTCTGGACAGGGAGTGTGGACTTAAGGTCTGACCCTCTGTTACCATGTCACGTGACTTTGGTCTCCAGAGCCTTAGTTTTCTCAGAGGAGGAATGGGGCAGTCAGAATGTGAGAACTGACCTGGTCTGGGTGTCCTGTGTGGGGATGGCATCCAGCCCAGGCCATGTGTGTCTCAGGCTGGGGGGTTGGAGGTTGGGATGGGGGACTCCAGGGTTAGAAGTGAACAGGCCCCAGGAGCTGTGGCCTCCTCCTCCCCTCCCCCCCATTCCCACAGTTGTTTCTGACCCCAGGGACAAAGCTGAGGGAGGATGTTTACAGAGCCTTAAACCTTCACTTAGAGAAGTTTGCTGGGGGCTGGGAGCAAGGGGTGATGTGAGAATGTCACTGTGGCCAGGGAAGCACCGTGGGCCTGGGAGAGCGAGACTTGCTCTGCTGCAGCCGCTTGAGGTTTGGGACTCTGGGGGTGCTAGTGTGGTCTGGCGGGGTACTCAGAAATGAGGACTTCAGGAAGTGCAGATAGCAGGGGCTGCCGAGGGCGGGAATACACACCAGTGGCCAGGGCACCGGGGTGAAGCACAAAGTGGCAGGACTAAGGGCCGGGAGACAGAAAGAGCTGAGTGGGGGCGGGGGGGGCTGAGAGCAAGAGAGGCAGACTTCACTCCTAGGTGCCAGGGAAGGTGTGGGTCCTGGGAGGCCAGCTGGCTGATGTGAGGGGGGTGTCTCAGCACCCACCTCCCCAAATCCTTTCTCCTAGGCTCTTCTGTGGGGACCCCATCCCCACGGGCCCAGGTCTCTGAAAACAGGTCCTAACCGGTGCTATGCATGGGAACCACCCCTCAACCTGGAGTTAAGTTTAAGTGCAACTACAAGCAATTCTTGATAAGAACACACAAGACCCTACTGTGAGAGGCTGAGAAACTCCATGTCTGGAACCCAGAGAACAGGAGATACGACTGTGTAGGCTCCCCCACCCCCAAACTAACACCCATTCCTCCCGCTCAGACAGCCCATAGCAGTTCACTCAGCTCCTCCCCACCCATTAGTCCACCATGAAGAAAGCCCCGACTGTGGGATTTCAGCTCGCTCTGATGACCTAAAGCTCAGAGAGACCCCAAAGCTAAGAACATCACACAGCTCTCAGTAGGTAGGGGCTCCTGACATCTGAGTCTCCTTGACCTCCAAGATCCATGGCCAGTTCCCAGAGATCCCTAAACATCCAGACACTGTCACACACCATGCTTCCCCTAGAGCTCCAAGGAATGCCTCCTAAGCTCTTAGAGACAAGTGCTCAGGACATAGGTACCTCCAGCCAGGGCATTCCTGGCATCCGGAAGGGGCCGGATATGGGGCAAAGGTATCATCAGATTTAGCTCCTGAGAGGAAGGGGAGGCCCCTTCAAAGGAGCTATGGTAGTGGCTGGCTGGGTTAGGCAGCTCTCATCTCCAGCGACTGACCTGGGGGCCAAGTGGCCAGGCCTGCAGGCTGAGGGACCCAGCTCAGAGCCAACTCTGCCTTGGAAAAGTCACCTCCAGGGAGGAAACTTTGGAAAGCATAGCTGTGTCCTGTGGCTTAGCCTGCATGCACACGTTAGGGGGCCTGCCATGCAAGTCCTTACACACACACACACACACACACCCGAGTGGTTTATTCTTTTCATGGTGGCACCCAGGGCTCTAACAGTAAATTCCACCTGCAGCTCTGGTGCATTTAGTTTCAGTGGGCACTGGAACCCCTAGCCCACCAGCACTGAACTACACCACCCCACGGATCCTCATACATTTGACAGATGTTCATCCAGGTCTTTTGGGGGTACACAGAGACGCGGGCTGCTGAACATTGACCTGGACCCAAAGCCTGACCTTACATCCTACAGAATCTTAATCTGAGGGGTCTCTACATAAAGTCACAGTTGTCACCTCTAGATACTTCATGGTTTCCCTTCCTCAATTCTTCCTTGTACCATCTTCCCCGAGGTTCTGTGGTCCCCATTCTCATGGGACAGAGGCAGGTGAACATATACCAGTGGAGCAAGCAGAAAGACAGGCTGAAACACAGGTGAGAAAAGCCAGGTAGAAGGGTGGCCAGGCAGGTGGACAGGTAGACAGACAGATGACAGACACACAGCTATCACAATAAATCACTGGAGGGGCCCACGTAGCGTAGAAACAGAGCAGCAGAAGGCTGTGGGACAGACAGCTGGACAGATGAACAGGCAGGCTAACACACACACCAGGGGGATCTCAAGTCTAGCAGAGGAACAGACAGATTGTGAAGTGACCAGCAGGTGGACAAAGTGGACTGCCCAGGAGACCCTAAGACTGGCAGTAGTAAGAGGGCTTAAGAGCAGTGTACTGTCCCCCCCCCCCCAGGGCACTCCTAAGTATCCCAGGACCAGGGCCAGTCCATTAGCCGATATGGCCTGGGCCTCTCATGTTCCTGGCTGGGCCAGGCCTTCCCCCAAGACTGCCTTCTGAGCTGCCAAAATTCACTCTCTACATCCAAGAGGGGTCAGTGTTTTGAAAGTTGTAGGAGCCTGCTGAGGGAAGGAGGGGCCCTGGCAGCATTGTTTCCAAACATACCCCTCTCTTCTTTCTTTTTCCCCATGGCCAGAGCCAGGCCTCGTACAGCAGGCCAGCAAGGCAGGAGAGCTGGGCCCAGTCCTCAGGGCAAGGCAGAACAAGACAGAGCAGGGCAGGCAGGGCAGGCAGGGCAGGCAGGGCAGCCTGCTGCCTCTGCTGCTTCGAAGTTGACCGTTCAGGGCCAGGCTAATGAACACACAGATAAAGTTGGAAGCGGCACACAGGCCTGTCAGGGCCATAGGGACCCTAGACATCTACAATCGGAGGCCAGTCCCGAGCTGGGGACAGCTTGTTTCTGAAAAGGGAAATCTCCAAGGGGACCAGGTGGGAGCACAACATAGCCACTCAGCCTGAGAGGAGATGGCAGGGGAATGTGGGGGCCGGAGTCTTCGGTGTCTGGGACACAGAGAGGGAGAGGTGAAGAAGAGCCCCACTTTAGTGGCTTCGGACTTGATAGAGCAGAGAAGGGCCAGAGTAGCTGGGACAGCGGGGGCTCTGCGATCAGGATGGAAGTAAGGAGAGGAGGCAGAAGGGGTCAGCGCTGCAAGTTCAGGGGTTAGAGTCAAGCTGGGAGACTGAAAAGGGGGCTCAGGTCTGAAAGGGAGGGCTGAGAGACCGCCACGGGGCAGAGGGCAGGAGGTGGAGCCAGAGCGGGGCGGCTGTCCCCAAGGAACCCGGTTCACGCGGGGTCAGAGCCGGAGCTCGCGAAGGGGCTCGGGGTCCCCAACTTACATGAAGACGTGGTAGACGAAGGCCCAGCCGCGGGGCCGCTCCAGCACGTTGTAGACCCAGTTCTGCAGGCGCCGGTAGCGCTTGTGCGCGGCGGAGGAGCGCTGGCCGCAGGCGGAGCCCGAGCCCGAGCCCGGCCCAGGGAGGGGCGCGCCCGGCGGCAGGGGGCTGCCCAGAAGGCCAAGGCGACGCGGAGAGCCGCCCCCGCCCGCCTCGCCCTGTTCGCTCTGCACGGCGGTGAGCGCCACCAGCTCGGCGCGGGGGGCGTCCCCGGGCGGGGGGCCCAGGCCGAGGCGGCGCGGGGGGGCCTCGGCCATGGGCGGCGCCGGGAGGGGGGCCGGGGCGTTGCGGGGCGGGGGCGCACTCGGGCCGCTCAGAGTCGCATGGCTCGAACCCCGGGCCGGCGAGACGACCCTGGGCGCGCACGGGGCCGGCGGGGGCTAGGGGCCGGGCCGGGGCCGTGCGGGGACCGGGGGCGGTCGCTCGGAGCCTCGGGGCCGCGGGAGCCCGTACTGACCGCCCGCTTCCCCGGCGACTGGGGCGGCTCTTTCCGACTCCAACTCTCTTATTACGCGCTCCATGCCGCTCGCCTTTCCACCTGCCGCCGGCGCGCCGCTCACATGTCACCCTCCCCCGCCCCGCCCCTCCCCCGCCCGCCCCGCGGCCGCCTTCCCAAATCGGGAGGGAGCGAGAGAGGCGAGCGCGGGGAGGGGACCCGCGCCCGACGCGGCGGGGCAGGGCGCGCGGTCCTCCCAGTCGGTGTGAGGTGGCCCCGAGCGCGTGGCGCCGGTAGCGCGAGGGGCCTCGCGGCCGGGAGTGTACTAGTGGTGGCCCTGGTGGCCGGCGCTGGGGAAGGAGAGTGGGAGGCCTCGTGTGTGGTTGTGGAAAGTGGGGCGTGGAGTGTGGAGTTGTGGCCGCGGTCGCGCGAGGGACACTCACACTGTACAGTGAAGGTGTGTGTATCCAGAGAAGTGCCTACTTGTGCGCGCTGGCAGGCTACCCGTGGGTCTGTGTGGGTTCAGCGTTAGTGGGTGGGTGGGTGGATGGATGGATGGATGGATGGATGGATGGATGGATGGATGGATGGATGGATGGATGGATGGATGGATGGATGGATGGATGGATGGATGGATCGGAGTGAAGATGGATGTGCAGAGCCGGGCAGTGCAGCGCGATGGGTGGTGTAAGCGAGGAGGTGTGCCCATCGGGTTGTGCCCTTGGCTTCTTGTGCATGGTGTTTAAAGTTCATTGAGTGCTGAATGAGGTTGGAACCGCAGCTGCTGCTCCTCTCGCTGCTACCTGAAGGGTCTGGTGTCCTACAGCTACCGAGATGTGTGAGGCGGGTGTAACTGGGCCCAGATGAGTCTCTCCTCGAAGCTTCCCTTCTTAGTGATGAAGGAGACTCCAGCTGACCAACCTAAGCAGAGGGGGGGCTCCCCTGATCACGGACCTGCCCTCATGTCCCCACCCCATCCCTGCCTCCGTGGGGCCCCCACCCCCATTCTATCGAGGGAACATTGTTTAGGATAGATAGGAAGTATAGAAGTAAGCACTGAGCAAATGTTAGGGGGACCGGACAGAGCCCTCCCAAAGGCCCAGTCTCCCACCCGGACTTTCTCTAGGAGCAACCCTCTCCAGCAGAAAGTTCTCAATGCCTGACCAACATCTCCAGGTGTGGGCTGGCTGGCCCCTTCCCTTCGCCCTGTGCTAGGTGGTGATTCGGGTTTGCTGGCCCTCCTTCCCTCTTCTTCCCCAGCCTAAAGCAGTGGCCAAACCAGCCGCTCCCTCCGCAGGCCCTGCCCCAGGGTGAAGCGCTTCGGCAGCAAACTCTTCCCTGCTCCTCACTCCTCGTGGAGGATCTCGGGGGACACAGCTAGCTGGAGGGGCGGGGGAGGGGGCGGGCAGCAAGCTCGATTCTCAGCTGTCAGCAAAGGCAGCATTGATCTGCCAAGCGTCAGTGAGGGAGGGCGGCAGGGAGAGCTGTGGACCGGGAGGGCGTGCAGGATGAACGAGATCCCCAAGCTAGTCTTGGCAGCCAGCGGTACCCCCAACCCCTAGTGATCCTTTCCCCTCCTGCCCAGCTGGGATGCATTCTGAGGTCTGACCTGGATCTCTCCAACTGCTGCTGGTGCTAGGAATGCCGAGCCTGGAGGTTTTTAGACCTCAGGGCCCCACTATGGATGCAGTGCCAGGGCTAGATGGAGCCGTCCTCTCCCTATACACTGAAGCCAGTATACCCCCCTCCCCATATATGGCAGTGCTTCTCCCGACTGTAACCGGTAGTACTCCATCAGGGGCCCACGGGTGGGACTCAAGTCCGGGGTTCAAACTGCACAATGGAAAGTGGTTGCTAGCAGTCTTCCGAGTCGTTGATCTTGGACGAAATGGGGCTTGAATTCAGTGCTCAGAATATCTAAAATTGGGTCTGTTCTGGGAAATCTGGTCCTGCAGTTCAGCATCACCTACAAGCTGGTCCCTGGCTTCCCATGTGGGGCACTGCGGAGTTTCCTTTCCCTCCTTAAGTGGAATGAATGCTCCCTTCAGAGAGGGGGTCTCATGCTCTAGATTAGCCCATTAAAAGCTGGGGGAAGGGCCGGGCGTTGGTGGCGCACGCCTTTAATCCCAGCACTCGGGAGGCAGAGGCAGGCGGATCTCTGTGAGTTCGAGGCCAGCCTGGTCCACAAAGTGAGTTCCAGGACAGCCTCCAAAGCTACAGAGAAACCCTGTCTCGAAAAAAAAAAAAAAAAAAAGCTGGGGGAAGGTAAGAGGCTGTAGTTCCAGCTGGAGGTGTGGAAGTTAGGGTTCAGAAGCAGCTCCAGGGGTCCCAGAGGTAACAGTGAAAGTGGGGAGACCGAGTTCTTCCTGAGGTGTGCTGGAGGTGGTGATAGGAGGGCCTGCCAAAGTTGAGCTGGTGTGCATGCGTGCCTGTGTGTGTGTGTGTGTGTGTGTGTGTGTGTGTGTGTGTGTGTGTGTGTGTGTGCAGGAGGCAGAGGAGAGTCCAGAGAGGACAGGTGGCCACTCGGTGACCTTCCTGTGTCCATCCGGATTCCCAGGACATGACGGAGAATGGACTTTCGCCACTGCAGCCTTGAGTGACTAAGACACTTTTCTGAGCAAACAGCTGTCTCTGGCTCCAGGTCCAGCCTCCCTGATGGAGGGAGATGGGGTAATGAATGCTATGGCTTCCCACTCCCCATCCTCGAGCTCCCCCATCTATCCCCTTCACTCCACCCTCAGCAACTTCCTCACCACTGCCCCAGCTCCTTGGCAACCCTGCCAGTCTTCTCTGTTCTGTTAAGCTCATCCCCTGTCCCATGTCTCTCCCTGGCTCTGAGTTTCCAGGGCTGTATAAGAACAGGCCAACCCCTGACCTGCTGTGATCCATCACTGTCCCCATCATCCATCATCCATCAATGGAGCAGATATTGATTGAGAGGAAGGGTGGGGAGTGGGAGTGTTCCCGTTTGCTGAGCACCAGCTGTGGGCCAGGTCCTATCCTTTACAAAGAATACAATCCTGGGCTTTGTGGGAAATGGGCTCAGAGGCAGGGAGATGCACCCAAGGATGTCCAACCAGGTGGTGACCTCAGACCGCCAGTGTCCTGTGCTCTCCCTGCACTTGCATGCTGGGCCCTAGTGCTGCAGTGGGGGAGGGGGGTTGTAAGAGCTGATTCCGGGTCTCTAGCACTGGCTCCTGCCAAGGGGTAGGATGCCCATATCTGAAAGGATCAAGTAGCTGGCACCTTGGTTCTTGAGGTTCTTCAAGCCTGGTATTGACTCCTGTCATGACCTCAGGTCATTTCACGGCTCGGATTCCTTGCTGGAGTGGGAGGGTTGGCTTCACTCAGCAGTTTCCAGCCCCTGTCAGCACTAGGAGTCCTTTTTTAACAGAGTCATAGGTGGTAAAGGATGGCTGGGGTGAGGGACTCCAGGCTCCACCCACCTGCCTGTGTCTCCTCAGTCTTTGATTGGTCTCCCCACACAGATGGCTGCATAGTCCAGGTTGTCTTGAATTTATAGCAGTCCACCTACCCCTCACCCAGCGCAGTGTGTGCCGCCTCACTTAACTTTCCCCCGAGTTTTCTTATGGCTGCTGGATTGCTGGAGGCCCAAGGAGAGGGCAGCTGCCACTGGCAGGGACAGGGATGGAGAAGGCTTGGAGAAGAACAGCTTTTATTGCTTACACCTCAGCGAGGCCCCTGCTGCAACTCTTTCAGCATCTTCCAAACATGCTGGAAGCTCAAGAGGGTCATGCCTTCTGGGTAGCTATAGGCTGAGCGAAGACTTGCCCAGTAGAGTATTAGGCTGCAATGTGTATGAGAAGGTAGGGTCTGAGATGGGAAGGGTGTACTAGGGCACAGGGGAGGAAGGAGTGTGGCTATGGGGACAGGGGTCTTCAACACCAGACTGAAGAGTCCAGATAGCAGACAGGGGGCTTGAGCTAGGCACAGAGCAGAGGAGGGGTCAGGAGGGCTAGGCACAATAATGCGTGAAGTTCCAGGTCAGCTGGGACTGCACAAATAGAAGGCATTTACCTTGCTGTTCAGGTGAGAAGTGGCAGAGTACTCACAGGACCACAGTGTCACATCGCTGCCTCTGGGAAGCCACTGGGGGAGTGGAGGCCTTCTCTCTCTTTTCCCTATGCAGCCCAGAATGGACAGAAGAGATCAGAAGAACCAGAAGGGGCTAGGGAGCCAATTCCCCTAGACCTAGTGTATCACTCACCGTCTGGCCAGACAGTTAAGAGCCATAGAAGTGGGGAGGGAGGAGTGTCTCCGAGCTCAGCAAAAGTAAATCCCCGTGGATCTCAAGGCCTGGAGTGGGGCACCTGAAGAAGACAAAGAAAGAGAAGGGGGTGAGGAAACAAAAGGTCAAGTCCACTCCTAACTTGCAGGACCCCTCTGCCCTTGGAACTCTTCTCCCTTTCCTAGGTGCAGAAGGGCTGGCCATGCAGATAGCCACGATGCTAGGGCCTGGCAGTCTTTGGTCTCAGCAAGAGTCACTAGGACAGTAGAACTGTTAGAGTACACAGGAAGGGCTATGTTGAGTCACCACGTGACTTTTGGAGGCTCAAATCTGTCATCCCAGCTACTCAGGAGGTTGATGCAGGAGATCACAAGTATTGGATGGAGATCAAGGCAAGGGTTAGGGTTTCTATTGCTGTGATGAGATACTACAACCATGGCAACTCTTTTTTTTTTTTTTTTTTTTTTTTTTGGTTTTTCGAGGCAGGGTTTCTCTGTATTGTTTTGGAGGCTGTCCTGGAACTAGCTCTTGTAGACCAGGCTGGTCTCGAACTCACAGAGATCCGCCTGCCTCTGCCTCCCGAGTGCTGGGATTAAAGGCGTGCGCCACCACCGCCCGGCCCATGGCAACTCTTATAAAGGAAAGCTTTTAATTTGGGATGGCTCATTTATAGTTTCAGAGGTTCAGTCCATTATCATCCTGGTGGGGCATGGTAGCATGTTGGCACACATGGTGCTGGAGAAGGAGCTGAGAGTTTCACCTCTTGATCTGCAGGCAACAGAAAGTGGTCTGAGACACTGAGTGTGGTTTGAGCATATATGAGACCTCAAAGCCTGCATCCACAGTGTCACACTTCCTCCAACAAGTCCTAATAGTGCCACTGCACTATTGGGAGCTATTTTCTTTCAAACTACTACATTCCACTTCCTGGTCCCCAAAGGCTTATAGCCATATCATAATGCAAAAATGCATTCAGTCCAACTTCCAAAGTCCTCATAGTCTATCACAGTCTCAAACGTATTTAAGTCTTAAATTCAAAGTCTCTTCTGAGATTCATGCAATCTCTCAACTGTAATCATGTATAAAATCAAAAAGCAGATCACATCCTTCCAACATGTAATGGCACAGAATATACATTACAATTTTCAAAACATAGGGAAGGGATCATAGTGAGGAAATGTGAGATCAAAGCAAGACCAAAACCCAGCAGGGCAAACTCCAACCTCTGCATCTCCACGTCTGATGTCAAAACCCTCTTCAGCTCTCCAACTCCTTTCAACTCTGCCGACTGCAATGCACTTGCTTCTCTTGGGCTGGTTCCACTCCGTTAGCAGCTCTCCACAGCAGGTATTCCTTGACTATGGCATCTCTACCTTGTCTCCAAGGCAAGTCAGGCTTCATCAAAGCTTCACAGAATGACTTCTTTCCTTAGTCTCAGAGGAAGGATCCATAATCCCTTTCTCCTATTATTGACTTTAAAGCCAGAACCATGTGGCCAAAGCTGCCAAGTCCTACTGCTTGACCCCTTCATTCAATTACATCTTCACCGGCTTTCTGTTTTCAATGGTTTCCTCACTGCCTAAGCTTGACTGTTCTAGAACTTGCTCTGTAGACCAGACTGGCCGCAAATTTAGAGATCCACCTGACTCTGCCTCTGGAGTGCTGGGATTAAAGGTCTGCACCACCATACCTGGCTCTAAGCTTTTCTTTAATTCCTTTTCACAAGTTGATAATTTAGCTGGGTGCAATCTTGGCCTGAGGTCACCACTCCTTTTATTCTATTTCTTAATCTGTTTATCTCCTTGAAGACATGTTTTAGCTCCATTCCACTTCCTGGTGCTCCTTTTCTTCTCAAATATTACATTTTGTAATTCACCCTGCTCAGATTGTTTCTTTTCATTATAAATCTTCATTGGAGTTACCACTAATACCACACGACAGAGTCAATACTAGGCTGTTTTTGAAATTTCCTCTGCCAACAGAATTAATCCAAAACTCTTCACGTTAGCCTTAGGCAGCCTCTCCAAACAAAGGCAAAAGGCAACCATATTCTTCACCAACTATCACAAGAATGACCTCTAGGCAGCATACTAACTTCTTCTCCTCTGAAACCTCTCAAACCAGGCACTCACAGTTCAAGTCACACTCAACACCACTGTCTTCCATGTTCCTACTAGTATGGCCCATTAAGCAGTGCTTAAATCCTTCAACTGCTTTCCTAACCCACAGTTCCAAGGTCCATATTCCTTTAAACAAAAGCATGGACAGGACTATCACAGTAACACCCCAGTCAGTGGTACCAACTTCTGTCTTGGTTAGGGTTTCTTTCTTTCTTTCTTTCTTTCTTTCTTTCTTTCTTTCTTTCTTTCTTTCTTTCTTTCTTTCTTTTTGTTTGATTAGAGTTTTTTTGTTTGTTCGTTTGTTTGTTTGTTTTTGTCTTTTTGTTTTGCTTTTTGAGACAAGGTTTCTCTGTGGCTTTAGAGGCTGTCCTGGAACTAGCTCTTGTAGACCAGGCTGTCTCGAACTCACAGAGATCTGCCTGCCTCTGCCTCCCAAGTGCTGGGATTAAAGGCGTGCACCACCATTGCCCAGCTTGGTTAGGGTTTTTATACCTGTAAAGAGACACCATAACCATGGCAACTCATGAAAGGGAAAACATTTAATGGGGTGACTTACAGTTTTAGAGGTTCAGTTCATTATCGTCATGGTGGGACATGGTGGCGTACAGGCAGACATGGTGCTGGAGAAGGAGCTGAGAGTGTTGCATCTTGATATACAGGCAACAGGAAGTGGTCTGTGACACTGGGTGTGGCTTAAGCATATATGAGACTTCAAAGCCCACCCTCGCAGTGACACACTTTCTCCAACAATGCCATACCTCCTAATAGTGCCACTCTCTCTGGTGGCTGTTTTCTTTCAAACCACCACAGCAAGCTTGAACAACTTGTGAGATCTTGTATCCAACTAAGATGCAGAAACAGGACCGAGGATGTATTCAGTGGTGGAGTGCTTGCCCAGCAATGTGCAAGGACCTGAGTTCAATGCCCAGTACAAACAAACAAAACAAGCAAGCAAGCAAGCAGGCTAGCCAGCTAGTTCTCCTGGCAAAACAAACCTGTTAGGAGGCATATTTTGAGAGTAGGAAGAACTGAAGAACTGAAGTGGCAGGGGAGGTGATTCAGAAAAGTGATAGTTAATACTAAGTAAGGGAGGTAGGAGTTCAGGGAGTCTTACAAGAAGCAAGAAGCTCAGTGACAATGTTGAGAGGCACAGAGAATAATACTTCCAGATCAAGCTTCATCTTAAGCTATCTCAGGCTTCTGGAGCCTTCCTTGTCTCTGACCTCAAGCCTCATGAAATATCAATAGAAGCTTTTTCTTGAAATATTAGGTATGGGGGGACTAATGATGGATTTCATTTATTTGTTTGTTTATATATTTATTTTAGACAGGGTCTTACTGTGTATCCATGACTGGTTTGAAAATCACCATAAACTGAGCTAGCCTCCAACTTGCTGCAATTCTCCTGCCTCTGCCTCCTGAGTGCTGAGACTACAGTTATGAGGCACCACACCCAGCTTTGGATACCTATTAAGGGAGATATTAAAAGACACTTTAAATATACATTTTCAGAACAGAGGTTAAGAGGAAGAAGATGGTTGGGAAGCATGGGTGTGGACTCCTCAAAGAGAGAGTTTAACAATAGTTATCCAAGCATTAAAGCAAGAGTGAGAACTCCTTAGGAGCAGAGATAAGAGGGTATCCCTTCCTATGAACAAAGGTGGAAGCTGTACCTTAGGGGACTCCATGTTCTAAGGAGGATAGTGGTATCGCTGACCCACATGAGGGGCTACAGCAGACTTATTGCCTATGCTGGATCTGGGGTAGTGCTAATTCATCTCTTATTGCCAGCCATAACTTTAGGTAGAAAGAGTCCCATGTGAATGTGACATCTCAGCTGGCCCATATGCATCGGAGACTCGGATCCATGGTGTGCAAATACTCCAAGCCAAGACCCTTGAGGTCAGTGCTACTCCCACATGACTTGGGCACATCCATTCAAGAAACCACTCCTCTGGATGGTGGCTGCACTCAAGGACACAGTCAGAAAAAATGTGTTGAAAGCAACCTCAAGGACAAACTTCATAACAAATGAGTAGCACAACAACTTAAGGGACCATTTCCCCCCATAGGAGAATTCATACCTAAAAACCTAAAGAAAATGAAAGTTGGAAACGAAGTTTGATACAGTTAAAAATCTTCAAGAAGATAAAGAAGAATCCACATCTGTAAAACAAAACCGGAAGGGAACCAAGCAAACCCATGCAGCAGAAAGGGGTACAACTATCTAGAATTTTTACTAAATCAAAGTTATTGGCATTGAGAAATAACCAACTCAAAGGACAAATTAGTAAGTAGAGCTGAAGAGAGAATCACTGGATTAGAAGCAGGAACTGGGGAAATCCTTCAGAATGACATGCAAAATAAGGGAATTAAACAAGTGGAAGAAGAAATATCACAGAATGAATAAGAATCTTCAGTGTATGTATTACCACTCATAAGATACTGCAGGGTGACCAAGCTCTCTCCAGAACTGAAACATGAATTAGAAGGTCTACAGAATGTCTACTAGGACATTACAAAAAAAACTACATCTAGACACCTTTTAGTCAAAAGTGTAGAATATCAAGAATAAAGAGGAAATTCTAAAAGCCACCAGAGAGAAAAGATCACTTATCTCCAAAGGTTCAATAATTGAATTGACAGTGAACTTCTCATCAGCAACAACAGATGCCAAAAGACAGAGGAGCACATCTTTCAGAGTGCTGAGGGCAAAGAATTGGGAACCTTAATTTCCATCTGTTGCCAAACTGTCGTTTAAATCAAAGGGCAAAATAAAGACATTTGGACATGTACATTATCTTAGAAAGCTTCTGTCTCACAGACCTCCCCTGAAAAAAAGGTACATGGGAGAGGAGCTAGGAGCTCACACAGGTGCCAAGAGGCTTAGTGGAGGCCAGGTCTCCAAACAGGGGCATGACGCTCTGTTATGCAGGGCAGCTAGAGCTCTGTTTTGGATATTGCCACAGCACTGGCCAGACAGAGGAACCCAGGCCAGCCTGGCCCAGCTAAGATTTTCCCCTCTTGAATGCCAGAGCTGCTGTCTTGTCCCCTCTTTCTGGGCTGCGGTAATGGCATGATAGGGGTGATATTGCAGGCCTGGCTCTGGGGACTTGAAGAGGCTATGTCCAAGCTACTCATATGACTGGGTACTTGACCACCGTAGGGTCTTCTCTAGGCAGCTTGGATGTCACCTTAGAAAGCCCTACTACAGGTGCTGTGGAAAGAGACAAGACCAAGGGAGGCCAGGTAAAAACTGACAGCCAGCCGGTGCCCTTGAGCAATTTCCGAACCTTTTTGTGCCTCAGTTTCTTCTTTATAAAATGGGGGAGCTGCTTACCCCATGATGATGATGAGACTCAATATAGTATCAAACTTTCCTCTTTTTTTCAACTCATTGTCTCATGTAAACAGGCTGGCCTCAACTTACTATGTGGCCAAGGATAACCCTGAACTCCGATACCCATCTTCACCTTCCAGCTGCTGAAATTGCAGGTGTGCACTATGTATGCCCAGCTTATGATGAACTGGGGATCAAACCCAAGGCTGTATACATTAGGTAAGCACTCTATCCCCTAGTGTAGCTCTATTTTCCTACACAATAATGTCTTAGAAGGTTCACCTCAGACGGGCTTGCCTAGCACACCATCAGTGCCCAGTAAAAACAAAACAAAACAAAACCAAAAACTTAACAAGATACCATGGCAAGCAGCTGAGATATGGTGGATGAGTGTGGGTGCTGCCATGCACAGTAGCGGGGACCTCACCTGGCCTGCTTTCGGCTGGACTCAGAATGTCCCAAACAATATCTGACATAGGCACAGGGTGCCAAAGAAATCTCTCCTCAACAGCTGTGTATGTGAGCTCTAATAATAGTTTGTAGGCATTGATACAGGAGTACGGAAAGAGTCCTCGCTGACTCTGCCCAAGGAATTTGAAGTTTCTCAGTGAGAGCCATTTCAATTGGGCTTTGATGGATGTATGAGATCAATACATGAAAAGGGCTTTCCAGGCACTGGGGCCAGCACATTCTGAAAATATGGCTGCAAGTTCAGGAACCAGAACGGTTAGTGCAAGCACAATGTTAGTGCAGTGGGGAGTCGGGGCGAGGAGGTGCACAGAAACAAGAGGCACTATAGAGTACCTGCACGGACTTTTGTCAGAAAGTCTTTATGTAAACCTAACTGCTTACCTTCATACAATACCCCAAAGAGGGTAGTTTCCAGTCCCAATTGGTATCCCCAAAGCCCCTCTCTTCAAGGGGTGGTTGGTGTCTTAACAGAAAAGGGACAGTCACACCGCGTTTAGTTCCTAGAACTATCTCAAACTGAGAAGATGGGACTAGGTGACTATGGACTCAGTAAGGGCGGTGTGCTGCCCCCTCGTGGCCTTGGTCAACCTGGGCAGCAAGGCATCATCCAGGTCCCATAATTGCAGGGGTCTCCAATCTCTACCCAACCACCCTCCTCACACACTCAAGGCTGGGTCAGGGAGCCCGGGGAGCTGAGTAAAAGCCAATGTGTTAAGCTTTCTTGTCTCACACATCCCACGTTCAGCATGGATGGAGATGGATGAACAGGGATCAGGAGACCAGGGTTTGGGTCTAACCCCACCCCTAATTCAGAATGACCTTGGACAAGTCACTGCACTAGGCCTTCAATGCCACTTGTGCTCCCTCTTCATGACTTCTGAAGGGTCTCCATGAAGACCATCTTACCCTGAGGCTGTGAACACTTGGATGTAAGGGGATCACAGGTGGGGACCAGCCAGGGGCTCTGGGGCTGTGAACACTTGGATGTAAGGGGATCACAGGTGGGGACCAGCCAGGGACTCTGGGGCTGCACCATTTAAAGGGAACCTGCTGTGCACAGAAACTAGCTAGCTGCTTGTCAATCACACCGATGGAATGCTTTCAAAAGAAGTCTGGGTGAAAGGGAAGCAGGGTGGGACAGAGGGCACCAGGAAACAGGACACAGCTTCTTTACTGTGACCAGGCCCCTACCTGCGCACTGATGGATGTCCCTCCCACTCAGGGGCGTCTGAGCCTGGGACAGGTAAAGGGTGTTCCCTTTACAGAGACAGCTGGATGAGGATAGCTCAATTGTCGGGGCGGGGGTGATATTTGGGAGTTAAAAAGCACATGGGGGCTTTCCTAAGCCTGCTTACTGACAACGAATGGCGATATCACTTTATCTTCTCTGGTAAGGGAATTTTATCCAGCACCTTAAAACTAGGAAAACGGTTGTCTGTTAATTTTCTTACTTGATAGTGTAAAAAAATCCCTTACTTAGTCCTAGCATTTTGCTTTGGTGGCCAGGAAGCTCAAATCATTCTAAAATTAGGTAGGTCTTGATAGCACACTTGTGTTCCTATTTTTATGGCCCCAATCTCCTATTTACTTGTTTTTCCTAATCCCAGACTGTTTTATGGAATCAGATGAGTACACTTAGTAAATAAAAATGGAATGACACATTAGAGTAAAAGGCAGTTTGACCAAACCTGCATGTAACATAAGCCCCGAAACCTAGAATGCAGGACTTGTGAACCATGAGTCTTCCCTGATTTTCCTATGGCAAGGCCTACCCTCCACCCCCAATGCAGGTTTGTAGTGAGTTGTCTAGGACCAGGGAATCCTAAGGATACCAGGCCTCAGCTGGAAAGGTCTGGAATCAGCCTCTTTTTTTTTTTTTTTTTTTTGGTTTTTACGAGACAGGGTTTCTCTGTATTGTTTTGGAGGCTGTCAGTCCAGCCCGGCCTCGAACTCACAGAGATCCGCCTGCCTCTGCCTCCCGAGTGCTGGGATTCAAGGCGTGCGCCACTGGAATCAGCCTTTTGCCCGCAACTTACCCTTCGAGCCCAGAGCCCAAAGCCCAGGGAATTGCCCACTGGTTTATAGCCAACGGACCTCTGTTTCTCCTGGCACTTCCCCGTGACAGCAGGCCCAATTCTGGTTGTAAAAAGACAAAGACACCAGGAAGATGGCTCACTGCTGGCCCTTCCTATTGCCCCCGTTCAAGTGACAGGAAGCAGGCTTTGACCACAGAAGCCCTCATGCGATGGATGGCAAAGGGCTGTGGCAAATCCAGGCCTTTAGTAATTAGAACTACATACAGCAGGCAATGGCAAGAGTCACCGTGAGCCACAGAAGACAGCAGAGTTCCTGGGGTTCTTGTTTGCTGCAGGAGCAAGTTCTCCGGGAGAGATGTCCCCATGATGTCATGCAGTGTTCATTTGGGCCAGGTGAGGCTTTTCTGAGCAGGAGACGTGTTCTGATGAGGGTCATTTGTAAATCAGTTTGAACCCACCATGTGTTGCACTAAGTTCTTTGGCTTTGAACACCTGCACCTTGTAGGTGATCCATCTTTCCCGACAGCCAACCTGAAAACAAATCAATCTTTCCAAGCCTCTCCCAAGTAAGTGGCCCCATGAATGTCCCCAGACACAGAAACAGACTCTCAGGTACCTAAAAGGAGATTTATTGCATTTCATGCAGTTTGAAGTCCATGCAGCAACGGAGATGAGCACAATCTTTAATGTATTCAAAAAATAAAACAGTGGGCAGAGCAGAGCACAACGTCCTCATCTCCTTGGATCTTGGAGAGAAGGGCTGGGAAATAAACCAGATCTCTGTGGGGAATGAGTTCATGGCCCACAGGCAAGGAATGCTTTCACGGTTTCTGGATGCAGAGGGATCTGGGGAAGGGGCAGAGAGGAACGCTGGTGGGAAGGGTCTGATCTATTCTGAAGGTAGAACTGGCAGAGTGGAAACCCTGTGTACCCCTAGGAAGGAGGAGCAGCAGGGTCAGTGAGTGACCAAGTCAGGAAACACAATTATTTCCTCAACTACATGTTTCAAGAAAATGCCATAAATATGTTATTTAATATTCTTATTTTATAGCATTGGACATACAGTTCAATATATTGAAATATTGATTCCTTGGAGACAAAAATGGAAAAAAAATAAAAAATATTGCATCTTTCTGTTGTAGAATCTCAGTCCCCAGGCGTGGAAAGTAGTGCACCAGTATCTTAGCCTGCAGGAGGCATTGAAGTCCCGGGTCCTCTGGTGAGGAGGGTATGTCCCCATCACCTGGGGCTCTATGGCAAATATTGTGTTGGGTGTCCTTGGCCTTGTCAGCTCAGGCCCTCAGTCTCCAGTCACCTGGGGGGTCTGCCCATCAGAGGGCTGGTTGGCTGACTGAATGAACATGGGCTGGGCGAGGTCTTGGCCTGCAGGCATGGTGACTTGCTGGATCTGGTACAGCTGCTGCAAGGGGTAGAGAGAAGAGTAAGGTCATTCCTGGGATAGAGGCAGGCAACTCTCTGTAGTCTTAAACTGGATGGGTTCCTAGACACCTTAACTACCAGAGAGAAGGGGGGTGGAGTGTAGTCTTCATAGGGGGAGGGGTACAACAAGCAGACACAGGAGGCACCAGGCACCAAGTGAGGTAGTTTAGTGATCAGCGAGCTGCACTTCCTGTGTCTTTCACTTCTCTGTGTTCTCCCATTAGTTCAGAGCCAAACCTGCGGCATCCTGTTCTGATTTGACAAGCACTTGGCCATGCAAACCAGGATCCCTCTCCCCCTTTCCTTCAAGAGCTCTATGCAAGGAGGTGGCCTGGTATTAAAACATGGACTACAACTAAGCCTGGCAGAGAGAAGTCAAGTTAGGGCTGCCTAGCCTCCTGGTTTCTCAGGGTTCCTGAAAAAAACCACCTACAACAGCCCTAGCCCAAGACCAGACAGCCAGAGGCTGATTTTCTCTTTTTAAGCAGCAGAGTAGGTAAGTTAGAAC